AAGGAAAATGCACCTTACTTCTTTGTTAATTTATTAACAACTTCCTATGTATCACCTTTGAATGTTTATTGAGCTTATAAATGTCTTATTCAAAATATTTTTTGAGCTTGAGGGCATTCTCTTGAATATTTTCACCATTGCCTTTGAATTAGTGGCGAACATTGAACTTGCATCATAGAAGGAATATGAAATGAGAAGGATATAAAATTTATCAATGTGGAATTTTAGCATGAGATGCTTGCCATAGCTTGAATAGGCAACTCTTGCTGGACCGCATAGAGCCATACCTATGCTTGTCTCTATTAATGCTTTCTAGGAGTTGTTGGATGGAGCAGCAAAATTTAAAGGGTTAATGTGTCTTGAGTTGATTCTTATACTGATAAATAGAAGCAAAGTAGAGCCTGGAATTTATTAGGTCGAAAAGCATACTGCCTCCAATTGCAAAATAAAAAAAGCAATTGCAATTGCAAAATCAAACTTTCAGCAATTGCAAAATAAAAAAAGCAAAATGGGATACAATTATGCCTTTGAAGCCCAAGTTCATCTCAGTGTCACTAAATGTAAAGGCAAATCTCTCCAAGAGAAGCTCAAGAGTCAAGAGAAATAATTCTTTTGGAGATTCAGGGTGGGGATTTATTCTTTATTCCAACAAGTGTTCATCATTGGTCACCAATTGGTGGAGCCAATCAACCTGAGAACATAAATAACATAGGTGATGAAAAGTATTTCTCATACCACCGCTTGATCAGCTACCAACTCAATTACATTCAAAGATTGTATGGTGGCATAAACACAAAAATGGAGAGCTTGCATCATCTGATAAAGTGCTCGATCATCCTTGGTGTGGCAAATAATACAAGTTTTATAGTCTTTAGTACAATGGCATCATGAGAGGCTAATTGAAGTGAAGTGAAATTTTTTTGGTCAAGTCCTTAAATTTATCCTATTAAAATGGGGTATATTTTAAGGTCTTATAACCCCACTAAATATAAGGTATTTTAATATATTTATCTCGGCCTCTCTATCTGACACAATGTGATGCATAGCTCAACCCTTGAGGGGAAGGTCTGGCTTAGCCAAGTCCTCAGACAACATGCTATGACATCTATAATGAGACTAGATTCTAAATTTCTGCCATCAACATATGAACATGATCCAACTCTAACAATCTAACTTCCTTATGACTGAGGTGTAAAATATAATGTCAATAGGGTACACCTAGGGCTGTAAATGAACTGAGCATTTGATGAACTACTCATGGCTTGGCTTGATTAAAGCTCATTTGTGATCATTTGATTAAGTAGTCAAACAAGCTTGAACATTTTTATAAATACTCGATGTTTAAACAAACAAGCTTGAACAATTATGCGTTATACTCATTGTTGTTCAGGAACAACATCGTTTAAATATCTTGAATAACATTGACGTGAAGTTTGATAGGAATCTAGATTCTTGTTCGAGACAGAGTACATAATAAGCATGTTAAAAACTTGATTAATGTTTGATTTGTACAAATGACAAACATACCTAATATAACTATTTTATATTTATTATAATTTAATGATATAGTAATTATTAATTAATAAAATTTAAAATTAATTAAATATTATAGTATATATTAATAAAATAAATCATAAATATCTTGTATAATTTAATTACAATTATTTTTTATTTTATATTATTATTTATTTATATTGAATAAAATAGGAGAGTGACATGGACTTATTTGTGATTGTCAGTTTCTTCTCGTGTGTCTTTTGTGTTCAAGAAATATAGGGTCCCCTATATTCCTTGTCTACATCAACATGCACCTGCTCTGCTCGGCTTGGTTTGTTTGCGGCCCTAGGTACTCCTTAATTGTTTTTCCATTTTTGACATCAATCGTTGGATTTATCCTCAGCGATCCATATAGTCTCTATTGAATGAGGGGTATATTAAACTAGTAGGATGTGATCCCAATTGTCCTCTATTCCTAAGGTGAATCAGCTTCCCATGGGAGGAGTGGAAAATTATATTAAGCAGGGTATGAATTTTATTGTTCATTAATTTCTAAAAAGACACTCACCAAAGCTAATGTAATACATCATAAATTGTCCCAACAATGTGCAACAAGGCATAATTTGTATTAAAAAAAAAGGGCATTCCTTTGATTATTCTCTAGTCCCTAGTGAAGTTCAATAAATAGTTTATGGCTATGATCACATCTCAACTCCTAGCTACCTCTCTAACCTTAACAAATAGGCTGGCAAGTCCCAATATTGAGTGATATGTATTCCCTAATCGAATACGAACAATATGATGAAGCTTTGACATCCCAACCCCTCCATTAAGCAAAATGTGTAGGACTCAGCCCTGACCATCTTGAAGTCATTGGAGGATGTTCGAACCACTAAAGTATCAAAGTTCAACTCTAGCTGATATACAAAACTTTCAAATAAAACAAAAATGAACTTAGGTTGGTAGTTCTCAACCCAAGTCGCCCATTTTCAATATGAGGGAGAACCTCATCTACTTGGGCCAATAGTAGGGCACTTTGTCATAATCTCTAATGCAGCAAAATAAATTGCAAATATTCTCAATTTTTTTGAAAGAAATGCATCCATGTGGGGTTGCATGTTGATTTCCATCGAAATCCCTACTGGGGATGCATTTTCTATGAAAGATCAATGTAAATTTATTAATGCTTGAGCTGATCATCCTCACCTTTACCTTGCAATCTTCATGGATAGGGGTGTCAATTTCGGGTCACGGATCGGGTTGAACCCGAAACTGAACCGGCATTATTCGGGTCAACCCAAACCTGACCTGTTTTTGCAAACGAGTCAGTTTTTGAGACCCAAACCTGACCCTCTTCGGGTTCGGGTCAATCTTCGGGTCCGGGTCAACCCAACACGACCCGAATGACCTAGGGCCAACCGAAAATTATTAGTTTCCGGGTAAAAAAATCGGTCAATCTTCACTTTTCGGATAAAAATGTGTCGAAAACGGGCCACTCTCGGGTTTTCGGGTCAAAAAAAATTTGTTCGGGTAAAAAAATAGGTCAATTTCTGGTCAAAGAGTCAACCCAAACCCGACCCAATTTTTGAAACGGGTCTAATTGCTTAACCCGAACCTGACCCGTTTTGGGTCCGAGTTGACCCTAACCCGGAATTTTTAGGTCGGGTTCGAGTCAGATTTTTGGGTCGTGTCAATTATTGACACCCCTATTCATGGAGTTAGTAATTTCAAACTTGAAGCCTTTGGTAGGGTAGTGCCTTAATTGAGTTATGCTCATCATGAATAATATTTATAGTGAGTTTCCATTCCTGACAATGGTTGCTACTCAAACACTCCTCAATTGAGACAAACTTCCATGGAACTTGGTCCCATGCATCTACAAAAGCTCCCTAAAGAAGTTGCATATGTGGGTTTCAATTTTAATCATCCCCATATATAGTGACATGATAAAACTAAATTCCCTAATAGGCTAGGTTCAGGAGGCTTAACATCGGGCACCCAATGCTTCCTTTGTTAACGAAGTAAAAACTACAATAGGCCTTCTCTAACACTAACAATTGGAATTCAACTATTGCAGATGAAAGATAGTGTGAGAATGGAAAGCAATGATTCTTCTGCTCTTTACCAAAATTAATAGAAAGTCAAGTTTGTATAATCTGACCCTCACACTTTTCACCTTTCAATGGAATAAAATTCTAGGGAGGTTGTCATGATCTTGTTCTCCTTGGAGACAGGGGCACAATCTTTGAGAGTATTCATCTTCTAGATTGAGATCAGTCACTTGTTAGAAGTTGGTGATAGCTTAGTTGAGTATAGTTTAAATAGCCAAATAGGGGTGTAAGTGATTACGAGCTCACAAGTTGAGCTTATCGAGCCACAAGCTCGATCTCGTTTATTACATGAGCTCGAGTTCAAGCTCGATGAGGCTCGGCTCGTGAGCTCCTGAGATGGATCGTAATTATTTACTTAATTGAATTATTTTACTTAAATTAATCAACAAATAAAATTTTACGCTAATAAAATCAAATCAAATTTCTATTCCCAAAAAATAGTACCGGTTCAACAAAAGCTGCGATTCATTAATGATATAGCGGCAATTTAAAATAAATAAATAAAGAAAAAGTACCGGTTCATATTTTCCCAAGAAAAAATATCGGTTCACTGATTTCTCTTTCCCAAATAAGTTGTTTTGCCTCCTTTTCTCCCTTTCACGCAACAGTGAAATACGCTTCATCTTCTTCGGCGGAATTAGGTGTGGCTACTCGCGAGCTACTTGTGAGCCGGTTTTTATTATCATGAGCTGAGCTCTAGCTGGCATTTTGGGCTCGACTTGAGCTCGAGCTCGAATTCGATCTCACGATTTGAATGCGAGTCGAGCTCGACTTGACTCGTTTACCCCTAAGTGGAAATGAGAATGTTAAGATGAATATGTGGTAAAAATTAGGGATGAGAGATTAAACAACAATTTTGTTAGTTGGATGGTTGGATTGTTATATATTAAAGATAAGGTAGTTGATAATAGATTAAAGTAGTATGGACATGTACAATGAAGGGTAGAAAGTGACTCATTTGATGGGCAGATAAAATTAATGTTGAAGGATTAGAAAGAAAACAGATAATCCTATGATAATGTGGTATAGAAGTTGTTTAAAAATATTTATGAATAACTAGGTTTTAACACCTCATAAAATAAAATGCCCAAACAGTTGGGATAATGTTTCTGTTGCTGCTTATTATGATGAATATACTTATAAATTTTGGTACAAGTCTGCATGACCATACCCCGTGGTATGATACTTTGTAGCTGGCACGAAACGAAAAATCATCATATAGGGTATCTCATGCTTGTAATTTATATTTAATTTGTAGATTTGAAGTAAATCTCTCACCGTGGATACACTTTCTTAGCTTTCACCTCTGCTAAAATTTCTTCACTTCACATTCGATTAGAGCTTTTTTCGCCTGAACCTTACATTGAGATATATGAAAAATGCCTTTTGCAGAGCATCATAGACATAAAGGTAGTGGATTGGCTCCATGGCCTGCTCGACTAAGTACCCCTCCCCCAAGACTCGCTGATCTTGGTTATGCTGCAGGAATTTTTGAAACGGACATGGTAATTTCTACTCGCTATTTTAGATTTTGCATGTAGGCACTTTCAAGTATTGAAAAAATGCACTTGTTTTGATAAATGTTGACGCCCCTGGACGAATTTAATTTGTCCTATTTCATGGCGTGCAGGAGAATTGGCAGCTGAGGGTTGACAATTATTGGAACCTGATAAGCCCTAAAATAACGTCAAACACCATAAGAAATGTCATGGACATGAGGGCACACATGGGATCATTTGCCGCAGCTCTAAGGGACAAGGATGTTTGGGTTATGAATGTTGTGCCGCATGATGGACCAAGCACACTCAAAATTATCTATGATAGGGGTCTCATAGGCACTGTGCATGATTGGTAAGCTCCATATTATAGTTTAATTTTTAGGATGTTGAAATTAATGCAGCTAAGTTCACTTGCAAGTTTTTCCAAGTATGCTTTGTTAGCCATTATGAACGTTCAAAAATCAAAAGCATCCTTTTTTTTTTTCAGTGATTAGAATTTATTATTGTTTTTTTCATTTAAAAATAGATTTGTATTATCCACTGGAGTGAAGGCCACCAAAACAGTTTTAGATTTCAGTTTTTGATGGAGCAAATTAGCTTTGTTTATAATGCAGTAATGGATTTGCCCAACCAAAGCTGTGAATAGTTGCAATATTTTTATAATTTGTTTGGAGTTATGTAGTGATTAAAGTATGAAATAGAGTTTCCTCCGTAATGAAAACTTCTTGAGAAATATTCTTTGCTCTCAATTTGGGATTGGTTTTTTCCTCTGACATACTACCCCAAATAGAGTAGTGGTTACGTATTTGATGCACGTGAAAGACGGAGTTTTAGTCTCACATTGAAATATTGAATAATAAATATGTGGGGTAGAAATACCAGGTGGTTGATGCCTTATGCCGTCATAAACCTAAAGCTTTGGGGTTGAAAATGTGGTTGAACACTAGTGCAACATGTCCAAATTTGATCCTTTTTTAGTTAACACTCTCTAGTAAGTGATATTAGAGCCAAAAGTTCTATTTGAATTGAGTTGTTCTTATGATTTGTGGCTCTTAAGAGTCTAGATTGCTTCTACAATGGTTAAGACTCGAGAGCAAGGGACTTAACATAGGTTTTACAGGATTGAGTGGGGCTATTAGTGCATGATAGTTGATGTCAAAAAGTTTTTGTTTGAAGGACAGTGATAACCATGTGAATAGCTTTCATGTATGAGGGAGATTATTAAGACAGGTAAAAATGGTTTAGTTCAATGTCAAATTGTTGAAGAATATGATAGCGTAAAAATATTAAATGGTTGAACCTACCTAATAGGTTTAAACTTTGGGTTGAAAAGGGTTGATCACTGCTGTATTAAGTCCAACTTTGATCACTTTTGATACACACCCTCTTAGCGAGACCAATCTTCAGGCATGCATGTCCATAAAAATATTGTCAGCCATGGAACTGTTGAACAGAGCAGCTACCCATTGCCATCTACAACTCAAGCTGACCACCTCTCTGTTGTCAAACACTCCTCTGGCTTCAAGAGAAACAAGTTGCTGTCATAACCTCAGTAGCCACCGTTATCCAGTGACCTGCCATATACCCTCTGCTGACCGTTCACTTGCCAATCAAGTCACTGTTCAGCACTACGCTGCTTGACTCTTGCTGCTAGGCATCTCTGCCAGTCGTTTAAATCATAAGAACCTTATCATTGGCCACCTCTATCACCTGTAGCAGCCGATAACCACCTCGTCTTCTTGAACTCAAGTGCTTCTTGCTTTTTTTGTGTCTTCCAACTGAGAGATTATTTTGTGCGGAGACTGGATGCAGAACGCCGTCCGGAGACCAATCAAAATGCGTCACGTCAGCGGTACCAAGCCGTGGTACCGAGGAGTATCGAGCAGTACCGAGCCGCGGTGGGGTGATGTGGCACATTCTAGTTGGTCTCTGGACGGCGTTCGGCGTCTAAATAATTAATCCCTCTAACCAGCGCTTGCACAGCATACCGTTTGTAAGTGATAATGATGGTCGGGTGTGTTTTAGGAAACAAGTGTGCTGAGATTTGGACTTTCATATTAGGAAAAAAATCAACTAATGAGATTTGCCTAGTGAGTAAATCTGATAGTTTCAGATTTGACCACAATAGGAAAGGAAACAAATCATAGAATATATGAGGAAATAAAAATCCACAATAACTTAACACTCCCCAGTGTGTCAAACATGCTCCGAGTGTGCCTAAATATGAAAATTAAGATTTTCGTCCTTCCTGGCATTTCTTGAGGTATATTGACTTCAACTTTTCTTATGTTGAGGTCCTTCTGGATTTGCTTTATGTAATAGATGCCCTGTACTAATCATATTCAGTGGCCTTCTGTGTGCATTTCTTCAAGTTCTAAGGGAAAAACTTTTTCATGGAGACTATCAGAATTTCTTCCAATCATTTGATTTTCTTATGTATTGGCTGGGGTTCATGATCAATTCATCATCATTAGCTATATTGTGCCTATTTTTGGTGAATTCTCATTGTTTATTCATTACTCAATACTGTAAGTAGATCTAACTAAGACTTCGTTTGCGACGATTTTCTTTCTGCTTTATAAAGCAGCTTTTTAGTACAAAAATTAAAATTTTTGTACTAAATAGCTGCATTAAGAAGCAGAAAAAAGCCGTCCCAAACGAAGCCTAAATGCACATATCTTTGGGATAAGACTGAAAAATGATTTCTCTTTGCAGGTGTGAATCATTCTCAACTTACCCTCGTACTTATGATCTGCTTCATGCATGGATGGTCTTCTCTAGCATTGAGAAGAGGGGATGCAGTGCCGAGGATCTCCTCCTTGAGATAGATCGCATTCTTAGGCCAACTGGTTTCATTATCATCCGCGACTCTCGAGCGGTTATCGAGCTGATTAAGAAGTACTTGTCAGCACTGCACTGGGAGTTTTTTGCAGTAGTGAACGCAGAGCCAAACTCAGAACCAGAAGATGGAGAGGTAATCCTCTTGATTCAGAAGAAGTTGTGGCTTGTGGATGAAAGCCTAAAGGATTTAAGATGAAAATTTTGGCTTCATTATATTCTTTTTTTATTGTTAAACCTTAATTTGTTTCAGGCTTTAGAGCTGTCTTATTTTTCATCTTTCTTTGTTTGAGCTCATTAAGATATATATATATACAAGCCATAGAACTGAACGTTTGTCTCTGCTTTCTGTACCATCTTTTATCCATACAAAGAATCATTAATGTAAATGAATATTGTTGTCTTAAAGCTGCTTTGAAATTGTATCGAGCAAAGGTTCCTGGGTTAGCCTTGCTGTGAGCTATGTGCCAACTACATTTGATCATATTATTGTATGATCATTACTAAGCAATTTGATTCGAGAGATTCTAACTTCTTGAAGCTATTGAGCCTTTGATAATCTGTAATTTTGTGAATTAGTGGTCTCAAAGCGTTTTTTGTTGGAAGGGAATTGGTTCATGTAAAAATGGTGTGGCATTATTGTAAGATTTTATTTGTTCTGTTCAAGCAATTTGTAGCAATGACCATCAAAATTTTGATCCATGGTTGTGAAATCATTGTAATATGTGATATGTTATGATTAGTGATCTAAGACATTGCAGGCACGAACACTATCATGTATTAATGTTGAACATTGGTAGGCCTAGTTGGGCTAGTTGTGCAACCAATGGGAAATGTTATTTGATCATGACTTAGGATCTGTTTTATAAAGATGGTTGTAAAGTTACTGTAGGGAAAGTAGTGTTTTTGAAAGCTCTTGTAGAAAATAACTTCCTAAAACAAAGATTTATTGAAATTTGTGAAAAAATAATGGTTAAACAAAAGTTGTGGTTGCGGTCTAAAAAGCTAAGCAGTAAGAAAGTTGTCTAAATGAAGGCTTCGTTTGGGATGGCTCTTTTGTTGCTTCTTAAAGCAGATTTCTAATATACAAATTTTAATTTTTATACTAAAAAGTTGCATTAAGAAGTAACAAGAAAGTCATCTCAAATGAAGTTGAAGTCTTATGTTTTGTTTGTGACTATTTTGTTACTGCTTCTTAAAGTAGTTTTTTAGAACAAAAATTAAAATTTTTGTACTAGAAAGCTGCTTTAAAAAGCAGTAAGAAAGCCATTCTAAATGAAGCCTTAGCTATGTGGAGAGTTCATTTAATGAAAGATATAAATAAACATTCAAATTGTAACATTTGAAGGAAGAATATAGTTTTGAGAGCAATCCTAGATCATCCAAATTTTACTTATACACTTATTGATGAAAGTTATAATAGTTTAACCCTTAATGATCCCTCCAGTGATGATCATATTGCATGTCATCATCATCTTCATGGTTCACACCCACCTATAACCTCGCCTGCTTATTTGATCATTGCAAATAAAAAAATCACAACTTTGATGTGTTATTTGCAAGATCAACCATTATTATTCTTTACTTTGTTGGATCAAACCATCATTAGGTTTGGTGTAAGACTCACCTTCTTAATTATACATAATTACTAGCATTACTTTGAGCCATAGTGATTTTGATTTAATTTTGATGGTTTCAATTGAAATTTATGCGAAACTCTTTGATATTTTAAATTTAGTTATTTCAAGAATTTTGTTAAAACTAAAAATTTGATGAAAATTTAAACTTAAAGAGTTTTATGTCCTAAAACTAGTAGATTTTAACAATAACACCACCAAATCTCTTCAATGGTCATAAAGGTTTGATTATAATTCCAACTTGAAGATGTTTTTTATAAAACTTTTCTGTACATTAGAACTTGAACAAAATTAGATATATCCTTTTATTTTATAACTTAAATATTCCTTTTTTAATACCTTATAATAATAAAAAAATTGAAACCAAAATCAAAATTGAATCCTAATGTTGACCTCAACACAGTCGCAAATCCCACTTAAATCCCCAAAATACCACATACCCGTATCATATGACGTCTCCTGTAAATCCTGCGATGCGGTCGGCCACGATCGTCACTTGCCTCTTCGTTAAAAACTAATTGAACGAAGCCCTCATGTTGCTTCGACACACTCAACTTCGTACGCTAAAAAAAAGTCCATCAGCAAGCCACTGCCTTCGTTCCCGCTTCCTACCCAGCCTGTATTCGTCGACCTCTTCCCTTCTTTCTCACATGCATAACCAGCTCCGACCGTCCTCACCCATTTGATTCCTCACATAACAGACATGTTTGAATAGCTCCCGTCGACCTCAGCTCCCGATCATAAGGCCCGATGGAATCCTCACTCATCCGTGATCCTACAGCCCTGTTTGAATATCTCAAGTCCCGTCGACCTTCAACACTTGAGAACTGGAGAAGAAACAAAGAAAGAGAGAGAAATGATTTTAGAAAAGTATATACAAAAGAAGAGAAAATTTAGGGATTTTTTTTATTTTTGTATTTTGTGATCATCGCCGCCATCTCTATCCTGATGACGTCCCCGTCACCCTTGTACAAGATATAATGTTCCAAATCTCACTTTCGACGATCGCGACACAACATAAAACTATATATACACTCTTTTCTTAGTGTGATGGGAGGGAATCCGATTCGAAGCCTGCGACAAGGAGGGTAAATCCTGTACACGCTTTTCTTAGAGTGGTGGGGACAACTTCTAAGTACCCGTGTGCGTACCTTAGTGTCAGCGGGGAAAAAAACTATGCATTTCAAATAGGTACTCCCAAAGACTCATACACATCTTTCTTGGCATGGTGAGATTGAAGATCATGGTCGCGGTATTGTCCGACATCTACCATACATGCCTTTCTTGGCATGGTGGGAAGGCCCCATACTCCTAAAATTTATCTTAAACAGGGGAGACGCCGGGAGGATGCCGAATTCAGTAATAGGGGACTTGAACTTAAACAATTGACAGGGAATTTGAATGGACAATAGAGAACATAACTCAAATTAATAAATAGGGAACTGGACATTAACTTGGAAAATGTACAATTAATCATAACTAAATATAAATGCTAATTGTGACCCTAATTATCCAAATACAAATCAATAAATAAATAGGGGACTTGTGCTGAAGTCTCAATAGACATGATTCATTGACTTGTTTACTAATAACAACACAAACTCTCAATGAATATAACAGCCATATCAATCAATGCATAAACATCAACAATTAATAAGTGACTTGAAATATATTTGAAAAAAATCATCTACGAATGACAACAATAAACATACAATGAACATGATGACTTACAAACGGTGATATACAATGAATGAAATGATTTTACAATGCAATGATTTTACAAGCGACAATCGAAGAGTTGTAATGAATGCAATGATACTCCAATAATTAATGTTTATCCACATGTGGAAGAATATAACAGTTCCCCGCGCACGATAACATTCAATATGCATGAAGAAGTTTACAGATGAATGCACGCCCACATGCAAGAAATAACATTTCCTTCAAGTGTATCCAATAAGATATTGGTGGATGCACAAGCAAGACATAAAGCTTATCCACAAGCAGCGTGAAATGAGACATGCATTACGTGACAACCCGCCTACATGAAGTGGCAGGTGATCTATATCAATACTTACAAGAAACAACAGATGATCATTATGTATACAATAGCTTGCATACAAATCAAAGCATCAAATTTGTGGCAAATATGATTGGCCTATAAGTAGGGAGTGTAGGCCTGAAATGTGCACAATAGTCCACCTATGGGTGACGTTAAACAATAAGTAGTGGATGGTAGATCATCCATGCAGTAAACATTAATGAACTATGTAGCAAAAACGCTAACCCTCTGTAGGTAAAGATGCAACAAATATAAGCGCCTACGAGCTACTATAGAAGGCTCATCAAGTAAGTAACGCGCTACCTTCGAGCAAATGCAGAAGACGTTGTGGTAAATACAAGCATTTACAAATAATGCTGGGAAATGCGGCAATAAAAAATATTCATCATCATACGCCAGCCAGTGATTCTTGGGCATCTACTGCCGACCCACAAACTAATCCAACAAATTTCATAGTGCATAACAACATGCTTGTAAGAAGCGGTAAATGAGTCATCACAACATTTGCAAGCAATGATAGATGTTCTATCATGCATATAACAGTCTACCTATGGATGGCATTGGAAGATTTGCATTTAGTGTAATTTGCATGCAGATGATGGTGGAAGGCATGAATAAGAAGATTGCAACAAGTGCGATATAATGCCCTCAGGCAAAGGTAGCAAACATGTGATAGTAGCAAACCTGTGATAAACACAAGCATCTACAAGTAACTACAGGAGATTCGTTAATGCACGATAATATACCTGCATAAAGCGACAAATGACCTACAAAGCAACACCACACCACTGAATCCACAACACTCGTACAAGCGGACAAAAGTCATATATAGGCTACTAAATAAAATATTACGCACACCCAAATGACAATCATGCACAACCGATCAATATCAAAGACTTTAAAATGCCCTCCCACATGCATTGCAACATGCACAATGCATCATTCAAGCATGTCATTCAATATTGGAGGATGCAGTATGCTGTAGTAGCATGTTATTTTAACATGAAAATGCACTACACACATATGCATTACAACATGTAAAATATATTATGCAAGTATATCATTGAAACATGCAAGATATGTTGCAATGTAAGAGTGCGTTATGTTAATATGTAGTCGCACTGTGCATTTATATATTTCAACATATAAAATGTATTATACATATACACGCTGCAACACACAAGTTTACTATTCAAGCATATTATCCAACATGTAATGTGTACTATACAACAACAGTGTAGCGCGAAAACATGTTACGTTGACATGCAAGTATATCATGTACCACATAAAAGGTGCTGACTCATTATGTGCAAATGCATTATATAAACAAATATACAATATATTGATGCATCATACGCTATGTTATTACATTAGGCCACAACATAATACATCAATATATCCTGCAAGTATAACTTAGCAATATGTAAATGTAAATTGCATTATACACGCATACAACTACTATACAAATGCATCATGCAAAATATATGAAAATGCATATACCCGTATGGGCCCTAGAGAGCGTACTATGGGTACACACGTGACGTTTGAGGATACTGCGCTAGTTAAAAAATGAACCTAGGTTCGAACTCGATCTTCCTATGTGAATAGATAGGAGTTAACACAGCTTGAACTACAGAACAAATATATGGTCGTGCCATCGATCAAGATATTTATTTTATATATTCATATTAAACCTTCAAAACCTATTATAAGAAAAATTCATTAATAAAATGCATAAAGCCAACAACAAACCTAATCCTTTGTTTGCAAGTTGAAAGAGTCGATAATGTTCAACAAATAAAATAAAAATGCCCATAAAAATCTCTATGATGGTCGTGTTG